GAAAGATGATTCCTGATGTAGGCTTTGGGAAATTCTGTTGTCGAATTTTCAGGCGGAAAACAACGGGTTCTAGCGACGCATCCGGGGCGCCAGAGAAGGAAAAATAGATGGAGTAGTATGAGAGTGCAAAGTTAGGAGCCCGTTACACTGAGGAAGAGGATATGTTTTGGAGAGGGAGAGAGTACTTCGAAGAACCCTTAACCTTGAGCAAGTTCGGATAAGTTTGCATGAAGTGCAGTAGTCAACGAATATTAGGCAGTAAGTGGATGAAATCACAGAATCTATACAAAGTTCGCAAGGTGGCAAAAATGCTGGAATCGATGATTCCCGACTAGGACTGTTATAGCCTTAGACGAAAAAGGCGGCATGTTACTATTAGGCTAGGGCCGTTTCGGTGCTGATCGATAGTCGTTGTTAAAGAACCGTACTGTGGCACGGGTATCAATCTACATAATGACGATGTGGTCATCGCGGAGAACTGATACGTCCAACCCACCATATTACACATCTATGAGAGGCTCTCCATTAATACAATGTGAAACTACTATTTACCAAGTAATGAATATTTCTCTGTGAGTAAAATGCTTAACATCTGTCAAATTAGTGATTTACAGTTTTGTTTTATGACTATGGGATTAAGTGAGTTCATTAATTTCGTCTTATGCAGCTTCTCTGTACGTAACTTGATGGGTTTTGCGACTAAATTTATTATTTGCCTATCAATAGAAAACTCAATGAAAGCACAATAAGAATCCATTGTCAAAAATGTAAATTTTCAATATTTCTGTTTCATATCGTGAATCCAAGTTATAACGGCGGACGGACATTACGATGTACGAGAATATTTGTGTTCAAAGTTTTGTTTTGTTTCTTTACAAAGTTGAGCTAGAATGGATAGTTGCGTTGCTCAACAAAATTGAAATTTGTTAACATAATTAGTTTCAAGTCTAATTTTTATTTATGGAAGGACAGGGAGGTGAAGTATAAAGGAACTTTATTTATATAGCAAAATTTTATATACAACATAAAACACATAATTAGTTTGACAGAAGTTTCACATTGTGCTGACGGATAGCTTCTCATGGATATGTAACATAGTGGGGTGGATATTACAATTCGTTGAGATACTCACAATCCAATCATATGTTCAAACTGGCGCCAGGATGCTACACGTTGATAACGACTATCGATCGGCGCCGAAAGGACCCGCGCAAAAATGTACGTTTTGCTGATACGATATCAGTAAGAATGCAATTACGGGTATGCCGCCATTGAATTGGATAACTAGGCGTCTGTATCCCTACTCAAAGATAAAGCAAATAGTAAATGGTTCAATTATAGAGAAGCGCTTGAACGATTCATAGCTGACAGCACCAAATACAGCAGATGGTACAATAGTTTATTGAATCTTATCAGGCTAGGGAAATAGCAACATACCAATTGACAAACAGCTGGATCAATTACTGAAATCTGCCGCTAAGGAGTACTTACATAGTAAAAGGCAGAAAAGAGTTTTTATGCACACTGAAGCATTATAATAATCGAGACTGTTTCATGGCTTCGTTACACGTCACTGCCTTTTCAGTAGCGTGAATACTTACACTCTGAATAATATTCTAGCTTACATCTTGAAGAACGCAATGGACGAGTGGAGGAGATCAGAGAGAGTGTATTGAGTCGTGTGACAACAGAAATTGCGGCGTGGATGATTTAATGACAATTCTTCAGCCTTGTGATGAATGGCGTCAGTTCAAATTGGTGACCAATACCTACCACCATGGTCTGTGAAGTTTCGGCGTCGATCAATGGTCGTTATTAACGTGCAACGCATTTGATCTATATGATTGGACTGTGATCATCTCGATCATCTGTAATATGCAACGCAACAGGTGGTATATCGATGAGAAGCTTTCCGTGAGCACAATGTGAAACTTCTCTCGAATTAATAAATTTCAAGGATTGTAAGATTTCGTCCATCAACAAATTTCATAATTTATCCATTAATATCTGTGAGTACAATAGCAAAATATATGTAAATTTAATTGTCAGACTGCCCAGTCATTTTACAAAATTTAAACTTGTGTATATAATTTAGTTTGAAGTCAACTTTTCATGGAAGAACGACGGAGCTGATGTACAAAGTAACTTTATTTACATAACAAAATTTTATATGCAATACATAACATCATTGCGCCATTTCGCAGTTATGCACTAAGACGCGAAGGTAAGTAATAACATCACTATTATGACAAGTCATTCAAAATGGACATTATCCTTTCATCCGCATCCCGATATTTCTCCAACTTTACTGGATACTGGATATTATCTAGTTCTCGCAGGCAGAAAAATGGAGTCATGAAATAAAACCATGGAATAAAACGCAAAATCTTAGAAATTCATTACTTTGACAGAAATTTCATATTCTACGTATGGAGAGCTTCTCAGGGATATATAACTTGGTGAGTTGGATATTACAGTTGATCGAAATGATCACAGCCCGATCATATAGAATCAAACGCGTTTCACGTTAGTAGCGACCATCAATTGGCGCTGAAGCGATTCGCGCCCAATCGTCTCATTCTGCTACCAGCGGACGTACAGCATTCTGGTGGGTGTTGTCTTATGGTCCGCCTGGAGGTGAAAGCCCTTAAGGAATGCCCGCCGGAATTCTGACCCTTGCTTAGTGCGCGATTCGTTGATGACACTTTCCTATTATTTTAACGAAACGACGGCGAACTGGAAAGGTTGAAATGTTTCTTGAAT